GAGTGAGAATGAACGAGATAACTATGAGATAACAGCTCGACCTGGCAAAGAAACAACCATGTGCAGTGAAGTAGGCGTGTCCGATTATCTGATTAATTAACACCTCGAGATTTTAAACCTTTTTCAGATTTGTGACGGAACGAAGAGATGACTTTACTGCTGTTATAGCTTCACTAAGGATAGAAGGTTACTTAGGTACAACACAAATTTTAGATGGCTTGTTCTCTCAGGAGCAGTACTTTGCATACGAAATTCCATGAGGTGCAAGCGAAAGTTCATGGGTTCGAATTTTACTTTTACCGTGCTATAGCTTTGCGAAAAAAAGCCAAGCATTTTAAAGAATCATACCACATAAAACTAGAGCCTTTGCAGTTTCTAAAGATACCATACTTTCAGTAGATAAGATACATAAAAGCTGAAAACAGCATCTGAAAGTAGATGGTGACCGGAAGTGAGTGGCTTACTCTAATACCTACAGAGAGTATCCAACGGCCCCATCTCAGCTGCTGCTAGTGTGTGACTGTGTGGATTTCTAGGAAGTCACGTTCAGGATACTTCTGTATATTATCAATGATAAATGTTGTTATAACAACACATCTGTATCAGTGCATAGATATTAGAGTTAAAAGGATCATAGATATTTTTTAACTCTAATATCTATGATCAGTGCATCTGTATAAACATTAATTGCCAAACTACTGAAGTATGCGGAACGTGACTTCCTAGCCTAGGAATCCACACACTTGCAGCAGGCCTCAATAGGGCCATTGGATACTCTCTGTAGGTATTATTCACTCTTGATATGTACCTGAACACAGTTGATATTACTAATGTCAGTATATTGTAAAATACATCAGTAAACCTTATTAGGATGATAAGGAGTGGCAACACTGTGGTGACCGGCTGGCACATGACTAGCTGCAATTAGTGAACATGCCGCAAACACATACTTATTTTGTCATTGAAATTTATGTCATGTAATATGTTATAAAGACAATACTTGATTGTAATGAAGCAGCTAGAATATTACGATGAAATTGGACAGTTGTATTCACTTGAATCTGTCCAGCATACTTACAAAAAGTTGCTTGCTTAGTGTTAATTGCATATAGCATTAACTATGGTCTAATTTAGAATAATAATAATGATAAATAAATAAGACTTTTATAATTTACACTATCCTTCTTCTGATTATTATTACTGTTGTTATTATAATAAAATTATAATAGCAACAATATAAAATATAGTCTACACCTCAATATTCACATACCTACATTGTATATTGGAAGTCTACAAGACCAAGTGGAAGTCAATTTATTACTATCAGAGATTGAAAAACCCCTGCTTGTGGCCAATGGACTTGTGAAATTGTGGTGAAAGCCAAAATTGAAAATTAATTTACACTATGCATGGAATTGCATGACACATGTAAATTCAAATGGATTGTTTAGTGCTGTGCACTGCATTCCAGAGTAGTTGTGCATTAGTATCTTCCCTAGTATCTTCTCTAGTTCTTTCTCACTTAAACTAACTAACTCTTGCATGTCCTTTATGTCATTGTAACACTTTCACCCATGTGCAGCTGTCAACCCTAGATGATTCCAGCATGGAGAAAGGCCATTGGTTGGATCA